AATATGGAGAAATTTTAGGAGTGTCTCAATCAATATTTTGATTTTTCTTTTATTATATATTATAAAATTTTAATGTTTCTATAGGTCTGAAAAAACTCTTTCAACCAGTATAAAATATTCCTGAGACAAGAAAATAATCATGACAGAATTTACTTGGCAGTATTTTTTCTTTCTTAATAAAACAAAATAATAGTGCATCTTACAAGAATGGTATCTTAGGTTTGGTGAAATGTACTGTATCTTTGCATAATTGGGCAGGATATTTCTGTAGAATTAAGTCTTAAGAGTGGAATTACCAAGATAAAGAGCCTCATAAATTCCTCTCCACAAAGACTGTATCAATTTACACACACACCTGTTTTCCAACACCTTCACCAATGCAGGATATTCCAGTTTTTTAATGTTTGAGAGCCTAATAAGTGAAAAGCATATTTTATTTTGGTTTAATTTGTACCTCTTTGCTTATTGATTGTCCAATTACAGTTTTCCTATGAATCACTTTTTCTATTTATTACTCCTTTTCGTGTGTTGGTGGTGGTATTTTTCTTCATGGTAAGTGTTCTTTAGATATCAGGGCCATCAACTTTTTCAAGTATGTTACAATTTTTTTTTCACACTTTGTTGCTTGTCTTTCAAACTTAGGTTGTTGAATTGTTTGCCATAAAGAAAATTTAAGATTTTACTTAGTCAAATTAAAAAAAATTTCTCCTAGTTTTCTTATTATTTCTTTCCTAACCAAGATTATAGAACTGTTTTCCTATATTCTTTTCTAGTATATTTTTTAACTAAAAATTTATTACAGTTGCAATCATTTTTGCCTGTATGTCAAGGTGGGGATCTAATATTAGTTTATTTCTATGGATAACTATTTCCCAACTCAGTTTATTTCCCACTGATTTGAAAGTCCACCCCTATCTTATATAAATTCTGATGCATAGATAGATTGGTTTCTGGGTTCTGCTCTGCTCCATTGACCTCTTTGTTTATTCCTTTGCTAGCAACAAACTAGCAATTTAGCATTCTAAATTCACCCCCGGGAGTGGGGGGGCAAAATCAGCTAAACGGGCAAAAATTGCTTCTCGGGGGGTGGAAAAATATTATTCTTTTAATATATGAATCATAGGGCTTCCCTGGTGGCACAGTGGTTAAGAATCCGCCTGCCAATGCAGGGGACACGAGTTCGAGCACTGGTCCAGGAAGATCCCACGTGCTGTGGAGCAACTAAGCCCGCGCACCACAACTACTGAGCCTGTGCTCTAGAGCCGACAAGCCACAACTACTGAAGCCTGCACACCTAGAGCCCGTGCTCCACAACAAGAGACATCACCACAATGAGAAGACTGCACACGGCAGCGAAGAGTAGCCCCCCCCATCGCTGCAACTAGAGAAAGCCTGGGCACAGCGACAAAGACCCAACACGGCCCAAACAAACAAACAAAACCCAGGAAATTAACACTAAAAAAAAATATATATATATATATATATATATATATATATATATATATATATATA